ATGTTTAAATTTGCTTAATAGTAAAGGCATTATAATAAAGTTGCATGAAATTTTTTTTCTCCATTTATTCTCCTACTTTTTCTTTTTAGAGATTTTATCTCAAGCCATAATTACGATAAGCTTGTATATATTATGCAAAATTCTTCACTTAAAATAGTTATTTGCTTCCCTTCTAGTTGCATAGTTACAATTTTTTAATTTATAAATAATAACATTGCTTAAATTTTAGTAGTAGAGAGTTGAGGTTATGCTAAGGATTGTAACACCACAAATTTTCACCACTTCTAAATTAATTATTATCATATTAATCTAAATAAATTATAATTAGATAATACATGAATATTAGAAATTAAAACACACTTAGAAAATCAACTCGAAAAAGAGATAATTAAGAAATAATTTAGTAATGTATAATCCAATTTTTAGTTAAGATTAATTAAAAAAATTATCTTAAATGATTTTAGACCATCTAAAGTAGGGATGACATAAATTATATTGAGTTGCAAACAAAAATAGAAAATAAATACAAGTTATAATGTTTGTCAAAATAACCAAAATATTTCTAGAATAGGCTTGGAATATTGGCTCAATTTGAGCAAAACTATGGCCATAAAAAATTTTGAAAATTTTATAGTAGTTAGTCCTTAGAAAAAATCATGCTGGACGTGCCAAATGACAGCCCAAAAATTCTAAGAAAAATTACACAAATCCTGCCAAAAAAGACATAAATTAACCTAAAATTGGAGACTAATTATGGGAAAACTTGATCAACAATACAAGAAGCCAATTAAAGGCCATGTGCAGAGAAATAATGACCAAGGGATAAGCCAAGGTACAAGAATCAAGAGTCTTATCTTATCTAGAGGAAGATTGGCCAATAAAAAACAAGAAGCAAGTCAACAAGTCAAATGACATGATTACAAACATAACTAACTATTAGGATTTTAACTCTAAACCAAAATTCAAACAACGAGTCATGACTATTCCATCCAAATGAAACTATAAAGTACACTCTAAAGTAACAAAAATAATCAAGAAACAACTAGGCTAATTAAAGTGTAAGTGGATAAAAATTAGAATTACAATGAGTCATGACAGAGGACATTTATTGCCATGATGTCTTTGCATATGTGCTGCCGTGAGAAGGAGCACCAAATGGATCTAAAATTTAGCATTAATACTTAGTACATGTGGAGGATTCTAGTAGTAAATCCCATGAGTAGAAAGAATCTAAGAAAAAAAAAATTCAAAAGGACATGCAAAAGTGGAGCCTATTTCACGTTAAATAGGAAGCTTTAATGCAAAGTGAGACACTTTCATCAACCTTAACCAATTTAGTAACATTCACACATCTCAAAATTATGTCAACATACACTACTTGAACCTCACAAAGCTGGACCACCCACTAATATACCTTAAAAACTCCAAATAAGACAACAAACTTCACAAAAACACAAAACATACCCCACAAAGAACCTTGCAAACAGTCAACTCTCTTGTTTGAAAATCATTAGCACGTGAACTGGGAGATGAAAGGAAGTGAAAAACACTTTCAAAGGAATAAGAAAGAGCGTGTGAGAGAAAAAAGAAAGACTTCACAAAGAACTTGCAAGAATCAACACAAAAAATCAAGTCAGGGGAGATATTATTTCATAAATCAAAGGAGTAATTTGCTAAATGAATTTGAGTCAAAGGAGAACTTTTAACCCTTTTTAAAATTTCGTGGCCTTAGTAGACATATGAAAATAAAATTGGTTGGAAAAAAGAAAACTCAAGAAAATCACTAAACCAATGAACAGGAAGTTTTACAAAAAAAATTATAATAAATTGAAAAAGGATATTTTAATAGAATTTTGTTAATGAACTTGCTTATGTGTGTGTGTGGGGAGGAGGGGGGGTTTCCATGTTTTGGAATTGGTCAAATAAATTTTGCAAATTTTCTACGAACTTGGTTGTTATCTATCGTAGAATAAGCAAATATTATTTTAAAGGCATGAGCTGATATTTTAATCTTTAATTTATGCTTGTATGGCTTGATTATAATATTATTAAAGTAGAATTCATTATTGTCACTTGGTTAGGTATAAAAAGGAATTTTTGCAAATTTTTAGGAAATATTACACTTTTGGGTAGTATACTAGTATATAGCCGTTTTTTTGTTGTTTTGGGCTTTGTAAAATTCTTAATATCATGAAAAACTTTCTAAAATCTTAGAACATATGAATATGCTATTCTGGATTTTTTGGGATTATTTTAAATGTAAATAATATTTTAAATGTATTTTTGAAGTTCTTGATAAAAAAAACTTTAAAAGAAATGAACCAAAAATGAAAAGTGACTATGTAAGGAACTTTTGAAACTTTGGACATATTTGGAACCCTGGATCATGTGAAATTTATGATGGTGACTAAGATATTAGAATAAATTTGAAAGATTGATCCTTTAAATAATAAAATACCATAAGTTTGACCCTAAATACACTTTAAAAATTCAAAATACTTGACCACTAGTGGTAAGACCAAAAAAATATTTTAGACCATGTGGAGACCTAGACTATGACCCACGAATATGGTAGAAACATACTGGACAACCTAAAATTTACTAAGTTTTGAGAAAAAAGACCTTTTTACAAATAACAAAGTTTGGGGACCAAACTGAAATCTTTTAAAAATACACGAACTCATTTGCAAAAATTTATAAAGATATTTTATTTAAATAAAGGACTAAATTAGGAGTAATTTTTCACTAATTTACTCAAATTGGATTTGAAATGAATTAATTATGATTTTTTTAATGTACTATATTGTATGTAAAGTAACTTTCTGGAAAGAACATAGATAAACTATTTTTCATTTCGAATTCTGTAAGTTTTTTTTATGGAAATAAACACTTAAAGGAAAATATTTAATATGGTCGCATGATTTTTGGTGTTGTAATAAATGAGTTATAATTTTTTTAATAATTTGTTGCTGAAACATGACAACATGTAACTTGCCAAAAAAAATAAAAATTAAAACTCAATAATATTTGTAAGTGTCTGAAATGTGCAGGTATTTTAAATTGAAAATAGACCTATAAAGAATAACCTCATTGACTTCATAATATTTAGAATTAAAATGAATTAGTTATGAATTTTCAATATATTACGGATTGAAAAGGGTAACTTGTGAACAATAGAAAAAAAAATTGAGTCTTGTTTAACTCTCTATAAGTGTCTAAATTATGTTTGTATTTTTATATGAAAGTAGACACTTACAAGTTAGTGCATGAAATCTGGAGAATTTAGAAAGTAGTCATGTCCATGAAAATGATTGTTCTCTTGTTTAAGGGATGAGAAATTGTATTAGTTGGACAAGGAATGGTTGTAAATTGTTTGTGATTGTGATAGTAAATATAAATTAATTTCACAAGAAAAGTGGTTAAAAATTTTGAGTATGCGTGGAGCAAATAATGTTTGTGTAACCATAGAGAATAGTTGAGTACCCAAGTACTATAAAAGACCTAGGTTGGCTAACTTGTGTCTTGGCAATGAGAATTGTGCTAACATATCCTTACTGGCACTGGAGCATTCCATGATTAGTGTGAGTGTGGACTGTTGGGAGTAACTATAAAGGAAATTGTAAGAAAAAATGTATCTATGGAATTAGCTAGATTGTAAACACAAAACTCTCAATGTTTAATTCAGTATTAATAATGTTAGATAATTATTTATTCCATGAAAAAAGTACACATAAAAGACATTGAAATGATTGTTGGTTTGTTGATTACTTGGACAATCATTTGAACATGTTTCTACTCATTTTAGCATTAAGTATTGCCTTATGATATAGTTATGAATGTTTATACCCATCCCTATCTTTGTGTTGTATCAATTAAATGTGCATGAATGCAAAATGAGTGGTGGAGATGCACCCATTAACCCTACACAAATCTTGATATTTAGTATGGGATTAGGAGAATGAAACTCTAATAATGCTAATAAAACAATTATATTTATGAGTTTCATTATATTAACTACAACTATTGTAAATAATTCTCATATTACACTCATAGTCATACAAGGCCCAACAAGAGTTGAAATTATTTTTCTCTTTTACTATTTAACAGCCTACTTGGGACTCAATGATGACCCACCTCCCAATAGAATTGATGATTGAGAAAAGGGACAAGTGGGAAGGGAAAGTTGTATGAATATTATGTGTGCCTAGGACTTTTTCTCGTACTTTTGTTTCTTAGAATTTGTTATATTTAAATAAATAAGAAACTTAAAAAAACTATAATATATTATCATAGACTATGAATATGACGTCAGTAAAATAGTATTACGTATAATAGAAATGTGATGTGTTAATTTAGAATTTTTTTTAACCCTTAAATTTTAACATTAGTGTACCTATATGATAATTGAAATAAAACTATTAATGATAATAGAGATTTCTCACGAATTATTTCAATTTTTTCCCTCGCCCACTCACAAGTCACAGTCATTACCTTTGGTTTCCAATTCTCATTTATTCTTCTCATTTTCTATATTTTTGCTCATGGAAAGCTTTCTTATTCTGTTACTAAAAAACGTTTACGTTATTGATGTTGAATTTGAATTTCAAGTACCTGTTTATTTAATCTATTGAAATTTAAAAAGGCTTTTTGTTTCAGAACTTTGTTATGGTGAATTGGCAATCTACATATCTTAAAAGGGGACTTTTGTAGAGGTGTTCGGCAAATAAATTGTTGATTTTAGAGGTATTCCTAACTAGTGCCTTATAAGAGCATTAGTAAGGATTCGAAGCATAGTAAAGGATTCAATAACAAAGACACTAGTTCCAATCTTTTACATCTCTTTTGAAACATAGTACCTATTTCACTACTCCCGTGTTTTATGGTTTGATCTTTGTCACTTCTGTTGTTACTCCGCATTAGTTTGAAGTGAAAATATCTTATAAATATAATTTGGCGTTTAAATCAGTTTCAAATGTTGATTGCATGGAAAGCTCGTAATGGAAAAACCAAGATTCAGTATATTTCATTCCTTTTCCCATCCAAGTACAATTGTCACTCTTGTTCGTGGAGAGAACCATTTTCAACTAAAATTTGTACCAAAATTCCAAATAATTTCCTTCCTGTCATTAGGGTGGGGGAAAAGTGCCTTTAACTTGAACAAGTGATGAATGTTGAAGCTATCTTTGTCATATCAAAAACATGATGCTGGCATTCACTTCAGATGTTCATCATCCTTGGCACATAGATCCCAAACTCACTCAGCCAACAGCATCTAAATCAACATCTGCATCTGTCTCTCCATCTATAATTCCAGCCTCAACTTCAGCATCTGCTTCCAATTGGCCTGATTCCTGACCAACATCAGTGTCTGAGCTGTGCTTCTGAAGTTCATCAGGCGTTGGGGTTCCACCTTGAGTACCAGGGACAGTGGCACCATCAAATTCCATAGGTGTTGCTGTGGTATCTGTTCTAATGCCTTCACTATCGATCTCAGTTGCAGTTGTAGCAATCTATTTCACAGTAGACAAAAAATTGATAAATTGGAACTAAAGTAATTCCAAAGAATCCGTTTAAACATTGGATTTGCTATCAAAGATTCTAAAAATGTGAAGAGACAACAAATACAATGGAGAGAAGTAGAAAGAAATATAGATAGATAACAGTTAATCTTACAAGCATCATTGCATAGGGTAGCACGGATAGCGATTTATTAAATGAATAATAATCCTAGGCACCATTTCATACGGTAGCATGGATAGCAATTTATTATTTGATATCCAATTGATAAATATACTGCAGAAAGTATAAACCAGCACATAACTAATGACCAACGTGGGCTGGATGTAATTTCTGACGCTGGACTATTTGTCAGGTATACATGCAGAAATCTGAAAAAGCAAGACTAGATGGGCATTGTAAAACAAAATTGTAACCAAAGGGTGAGGGGAAGAAAACCATGTCAGAAACATTGCATTATGAAGCTCTCTGGACCATTCAGTAGGAGATGAACAGTTTGAAGATATCTTTCAAGTCTTTTATCATTTTCCAATAAAAAATTTCCATAGTTTTCTTCAAGATTCTTTTTTGAAGGAATTATCAGGTAAATTCTATACTAGAGGTTCTTCAGGATTTCATTGATTCTGTTTGTTTGTTTTCTATATCAAACAAAAGGATTTGGCATTTTTCAGGTAAATTCTTTCAATAGGACAAACTCTTTTATTCAATGGAGCTTCTTTCCATCTTAATAAACCCCTTTGGAAGTTGAAGGGCCTGTTTACCTTAAAAAAAATTATCTTTTTATTTTTTATTTTTACTTCTAATTACAAAAAAGCCACCTTTCATTTTGTTTTATGATTTCTAATATTTGTTTAAGAAAGAGTGAAAATAACATCTTATGTTTTTACTGTTTCCTCACAAACTTTAAAATGAAAACAAGGTGACATTTTTCAAACCAAACAGCCCCTAAATTTCCCTTGATATACTTATATGTGTGTGTGTGTTTTCCTTCTCTTTTTCACTATTGAGATACAAGGTAGGTCTAAATACCTGGGTACTAGTTGGACCAAGTGCAGAGCCAGGATCAACCCTGGAAGCAGATTTTTCATGAAGGAACCAAGACACTAGTTGGCCAAAAAAGTCATGGGCATACTCTTATGTTTAAAATTCATTAAAGAAATGGCCTGTTATGCGCACAAGAAAACCAACAGCCTAGAATATATTAATGTATGTCTGCCCCCTCCAGCTTAAATATAATAGCTGAACTAGAACCAAAGCAAAATAAATTATAAATCCTGCCAACCATTCAGCGCTTTTGGGGGAGGAAGAAAAATTTGAATACTACCAGCAACAATCTTGAGCTAATGTAATTATAAAAGGAATGGAAAGTTGAAATAATCAAGAAACCTGATTTTCCTCAACTTGATGGGCATTGCCTTTTGTTTCTTCCTTTTTACTACGTTTCCCCCTGTCACTAGGTTTTGCTTGGTATTTTGATCGGACATCAGGTGGCAAAAGTTCTAGTGGGACAACCCCTTCAATTCCATGATCAGTAAACTGCAACCAATATAAACATAAATTTCACTAACATGAAAAAGTTATGCAGCATAAACTGCAGATTAAAAAGTTCATTATACCTTAGAAAATCCCTCCAAGTCTTGCCGTGCTGATAGCCGGAGACCTTTCCAACAGTAAACCTGAATTGAAAAAACAGATATGTAGAATGTATATCTTCAAGTTGAAGGTCCATACAATAAATTTGCAACCCACAAAATTTGGAGGATTTCGTTTCGTAAAGTTTATATTCTTTTCTATGGCATTTTGCTATGTATGCTGAGATTTTGAGACTTTGGTTGCAGCAAAATGCCTATATCTTTTATGAAAAATGTCTCTCTTCAGACTCGCTATAGGATAAGAATGCTATTGTGGTCTCCTACGATAAGCTTTAAGGGTGTTTCACAAGGATTTCTTTACTCTTTAGTAGGTGTGTAACTGGAGTACTCTTTCGTATTAATGTTCTGCTTCTGTATTAGCTTTGCTTTGTTCTTTCTTTTCCCAAAGAGTGTAGTTATGATCCAATTGTAAGGTATGAGTCTTGAGCCCATGTTGGAAGTATGGATTATAATGTGGGGGTTTAGAAGGCCTTTGGCTATCCAACTACAACAACTAGCTTCTGTGTATGATTCTCCCAAGGTTCTTCTTATCAAGTATTCCTTATCTTATTTATTTGCACTTTTCTTTTGTTCAAAGAAAAAGTTATTCTTTTTTTAAAAAGTTATACTTTAATACTGTCCATTAGCAGTAGATCGTTTAAAATTAAAAGGTCAGCAACTCATGAGATAAAAAATGTAGTAATTAAAATTAAAATCTCAGCAAGCAATATAGCTACACAGTAGAATGAATATGACTAATCAAAACAAAATGCAAATGAGTCCAATTTCCTTTATTGATGGAAATTTGAAGATATTTTTATGTTTCCAGAAGGTGCAAAGCTCAATGTTTTTTAACTTTTTCCATTTGAAGGCTAAAACCATGGTTAACCAACCAATCTGATTGACCCTAACAGAGACCAACGTTGTCAAGATTGTGGTTGGGATTTTATAATTTTTTGTAGGACCATGGAACTTCATCGCACCCAAAAGCTTTGGTGAGATCAGGGTAGTATCATGGAGCTAGATCATAGAAGAGGTTATAAAGGTGATCTTTAACGTGCTGAGAAGCCAGCATTTAAGAGGTGGATCAAACCAATTAGGGGGAAAAAAGGCCCAGCCAAACTTAGTTTTGTTTGGCCCAACCAAAAAACCGCATTGCTGGAGAGTATGCATACAAAGAAAACATGTCAAGGATGGCTTGCTCCTGGATAGACTCACTCTTGATAATGACAAAGAAAACAATTGCCATTTCATCGGTTCAGCTGTCATATCACACCACCTTCCATGCCATTTAAGACTACTATAAACAACACAGACCCTGGAGCATTACATAGCAGCCATTTCGTAAATTTGTTTAGGGACAGGCTTATATTTTTGGCTGTTTTGCTATCATGCCCATGGCTGTTTCAACTTTCACTCTCAGAAATCAAGAGATAATAGGCAGCCTAGCTACATTAGTAATTCTCTTCTTATTCTTTTGCGTTTTTTACTTCTGAAGATTTTGAGGATAACATATTCTCAAACTTCTTTCTTTCTTTTCTCTTAAATAAAATTCCTATTCCATCCCAAATTAAATTTTAAGCCGAGGATTACCCTGTTATTCTTGTGATGATATTCAGCCTCTATTCCAGCAGAAGGATCCATCTGTAATTTAAAAAATGCAAAGAATTTTCATATTCAGTGCAATGCGGAGAAAAAAAATAAATCTTCGAAAACAGGGAAAAATTATAATAACCAGTCTTAAAATATTATTAAACAGGGTAAGTGTAGGAAGGAAAAGAAAATCAATATGCTTGTTGTAGCTGAATAAGGAAAGCTTACATCTTCCGCTAAGGGTTTCCAGTATTCCATAATTGAAGGTGTTTGAACACGTTGAGGATCAGTTAAAGCATTCTGGTAATCAAAAGGTTGAGTGTAAATTGATAATCTAAAATAGTCAATCCATATATTCCATAACCAACAAAATGGAAAGGAAGAAATTTTCTATAACCACACACAAAAATAAAGCAACCTAAGTACAGCATCAATGCAAAGACAATAGACAATTCATTTCAACAATTATTCGATTTGGACCTGAACCCCAAAGAAACATGATCCAAATACTTCATCACAGAAAGCAACACAAGGGCATAGAGGAAGGAATTTGTTATGTCAAGTTGGAAATCAGTTAGAAGGGTAGTGGAAATATTGGGAGAATGAGGAGGGGTTGTGAGGCACACTAGGGTAATTCTTTTTAGTATTTTGACACGGAATAGCATTCTCTGTGGAGCCTCAGGCTCCAGTTGTGTCCTCATAAGAGTTAAGCTCAGTTCTTTTGAATTGAATAATACTTATAAACCGATTTCTGTTGGTGTCCTATCAGCTACATTGCCTTGAATGGATTATCATAAAGAAATGGGAATATCTAGACATATTGTAATGAGTATGAGTTTCAACTGAACAATTTAAAATAGACTGCCAGGGCACTTTGACCGTAAGTACAGAATGTCATGACCTACTCATACTCAACCCTAGTGTTCAGCATCCACAATCAACGACTACTACAGAAAGGCCTTGCATATTAACTGGCCACAGCTCCTGTACAGAGTAACATACCGGATTTTGATCCGCCCACTTCCACAACTGAGACAGTTCTTTATTACCCAATCTCCATCTTGGCCTACTGAAAATAACAAGATCGAACAAAGTAAGCGATAAAATGGGAAAAGAATCTGTATAAATTAGAAGCATAACAGTAACAACAATAACAAAAGGAATCAACAATGGATTACAGCCAAACATTTTTTCAAATAAAAAAAACCTCACGTGCTTATAGTCTTAGCCTACCTTTTCTCTTTTGGTGACTATTCTCACAAGGAAAAATGCTAAAACTAGCGCTCCTGTAAGCAATTGCTATTTCATAGTTATTAACGTTTAAGACAAATGTTCTGAGTTCGGATTTTTTGAATTACAATAACAAATTTAATATATTTTGTGAATTTTTTACATATATCTTATATCCTAAACCTATCGTATCCTATATTTTGCAAGAATACACAAATTGGCATATCAGATATGCGTATCATATCCAAAAAGATGAAATATAGAGAAAAGAACTAAATAGGACAATGAGAAATAAAGTAGAAATAAGGTGGAAAATATAAGAAAGAAAAAATTATGATAATAACAAAAAAAAAATTTAACCAAAAGGAATTAAAACATTTAGAGCACAAAACAGTAATCAAACATGCCCTTGCTACAATATTTTTTTTCTTAATAATTTTTAAAATTTTTTATATCATATAAATTATTATTTTAACATTAATACTATCTCTTAACCAAGCACATCAATACTCTCTTTTCCCCCTAATTCTCTCCTTCCATCCTAACAAATGGTTAAGTGACCTAAAGAGTTCAGTTCCATGGGAAACACTTATTTTAACATGCTTTAAGGTTGACATTGATGGGTGTGTTTTACCCCAGCCGAAAAAGGGTTATAGGACTTCTTTCAGTCAACTAGCAACATTGAAACAATGCCATCAATTGTGGTAGTGTAAATTGCCTGTAAGTACCAAACAGAAGTGTTTCAATGAACCAATAATTAATAAACTTCCCCAATTAAAACTGACAAATGTTCGTTACTCATTGCAACATCCATGTATAAATAACAAGTATTTTAATTCAAAAGCAAACATCTTAATAGAAAGAAAGGAAGAATTAATTTTTCTTATCTTCCAGGAGATTTTGAAAGATTTCTAATTCTATAAAATAAAACCATTATTAACTGACAAACATAGTTAGTGAAAGTATACCGCTTCTTGGACCCATCTGGTACTGTTTTCTTCTCCAAAGGCTGTTTTTCATAAGGTAGGCAGCCATCACGTTTCCACCACACCTAAAAAAGTACAGAATGGAATTATATTTAGGTAAATAGTAAACATAATTTTAACGTTCATGATAAATTGCAACCACATGTTTATGGGCAAGACAGTAAGAAAATATGGAGGAAAAGTTTCAGATGCTCACCCAATTCTTTTCTCGTTCCAAAATATGCTCAATTTTGTGAAGAAACTGCGTCCCTTTTGGTGGTGTCAGTTCAATAAGTTTTTTAACTCGTTCCTCACATGTCGTAATGTCTTCTTTCTGATTTAAATAAGGAAATATGCAGGTCAAGTTTACATGTAAACAATGCAACTCAATCAAAACAGCAGTTTCTATTTCTAGTCTTAAAAATTTAAGCCAAAATAAGGTTCTTCTCCTTCCACAAAGACTATTTCATGTTTCCACATACGGCAGCAAAGCAAAGAAAAATAACAGAATGGATGTTTGGAAAACAACTTGATATCTAAAAACTTTATGGAGGATACTAATGTCAGAAAAGAAACTCACCATATGATAACAGATTCTTACGACATCTCAATATATTAAAAAACACTATTTGCTGAATGTAAAATTTGAAACGGCATATTAATAAGATCATAATACCCTGGGTATAAGTAGATGATGAAACATAAACTTGGAATGTGCTTAAGCTAGGTCTATTGCATATTCCATATAATGATCCACTGATAAAAAAAAATTCAAGTTATCTGCAATTTTCCTTTCTCACATACACATTTATAACACAGGGATTGTATTTCTGTTTTCAACTTAGTGTTTGTCTCCTTATTTACTTTTTGAGTACTTAGTAGCACAGAGGATTTCTATGCTCCTGATTTCTTCTGTTTTCTTTCTTGATGAAAGATTCTCTATCATAAAAAAAAATAAAAATAAAACACTTAAGAAATGTATTCCCGGTAGGATTCTGTTAAGGAAGGACACGCCTTCAATTATAAAAGCAAGAAACAAATATAGACTTGTGGTTTTATAGGAGTAATCTAAGAGAAACAGTAGACATCTGTTAGGGTTCAAAGACTAAGAAAGATGAATATGAAAGAATGATGATGAAACTTTATTATTCAATCAGAAAGACTTAGGATTTTACACACAATTTCCAAAGTTCTCAGCTCCTATCCAGAGATTGAATCTCCCTTTCTAGAATACAATTTTCCCTCCTTTATTTCTGTTATCTCCTTCTCCATTAATACTTGCTAACTAACTAAACCTTTGACGGTTGGTCCCTTCTTCCTCACAAACACATGCCATATTCTGGGTTAGCTGGGCCTTCATTCAGCAACCATTCACTCTGATTATATTCTATATTTGTTGGTCTAACAATACCACCTCCTGAAACAGCAGCCTTGTCCCTTTGAAACATGAATTCTTCTTCCCAAGTGGCTTCAATGGCAGGCAATCCCTTCCACTTCACAAGGTATTGTTTCTACGTTTGACCCCCTGTAGTGACAACATGGCAAGCTAGCTAAGATGGTCTCTGGTTCCACTATTTCTTCAGCCACTAAGTCGCTACGCATATTGATTTCTGTATACTCTCCAACTGCCTTCTTTAATTGGAAAATATGGAAAATAGGATGGACCTGATACATTGAGTGACCGAGAGTTGCTTGTGAGGTCGTACTTTGAGGAAGACTCAATCTCCCACTGCAAACTCCAAATTCTGACAGTGCCGGTCAGCTTGTGTTTTCATGTGTATCAAAGGTTACTGCAGATGAGCCTTAAGCTGACTTAGGGCTCCATCCATGTCTTTTAACTCACGTACTACTACTTCTACCCTTATCTCTCCTTGCACTAATTTTGGAATGGTAGGAGGGCTTCTGCTGTAGACTGCTTAGACAGATGTTCCTGTAGATGCATGATATATGGTATTATACCAGAATTCAGCCCAAGGAACCCACAAAGACAAGGTTTTGGGATGATCTGATGCAAAACAACGAAGATATGTCTCCAAGCATCTATTGACAACTTCTATTTGGCCATTAGTTTGATGATGGTATGCAATGCTCATTTGCAATTTGGTGCCTTGAAGTTCGAACAACTCTCTCTAGAAATTGCTAACGAATAATGGATCTTTGTCACTCAATATGGACAATGGCAGCCCAGGCAACCCAACAATCTCTCCAGAAATTGATAACAAACAGCTTGGAATGTAGATGGTGTGTTCATTAATCCAAACGGCATGACTAGATATTCATAATGGCCTTCATGAGTTTGAAAGACTGTCTTGTGAATGTCTTCTTTTCGCATTCGGATTTGATGATCCCTAGATCTCAAATCCAATTTGCAGAAGAAAGAAGATCCAAATAGCTCATGTAATAACTCATCAACTACAGGAATTGGAAACTTGTCTGGAATAGTGATTGCGTTCAATGCTTGGTTATCCATACACATCCTCCAAGTACTATCTTTCCTTTTTGCCAATATCACTGGACTGGAGAAAGGACTTGAACTATGACGAATGATCCCCTATTTCAACATTTTGCTGACTTGCTCTCCAATTTCATTTTTATGATGATGAAGGTATTTGTAAGGGGATATATTTATACCTTTTGCCCCATGGAATGAACAATAGTTCTCACTGGTAGGAGTCCACTGGTTTTCCTAAAAACTGCACTGTGTTCATCGAATAGCCCTTGCAGCTCTCCCCTTTGAATTGGAGACATGTCTCAAAATCCTCCCAAACTCCATGATGCTGGTGCGTCCCATTTCAACCCATCCATTCCTAATTCCTCCTTGTTCAACAGACTGTACAAAGGTGTATGTTCAGCTAGGAAACATTCTCTTTTTTTATTTCCATTTTGCATTCCTTTTAACTCCACTCTTTTTCCCAGCCAATAAAAATTCATGTTGATGTCACTCCAATCTATGATAACCTCCCCTCGAGTTTGTAGCCATGTTACCCCTAAAATAACATTCAATCCTCCAATATTTAACACATGAGCATCCACCTTCATTTCAGTCCCTACTAGTTGGAGTGGAATTTGACAACACTGGCCCTTTGGTCCTCACCACATGTCCATCCCCTAGTCATAATTTGAGCTGGTGTGCACTTTCCATCTCCAATCCAAGCAATGTTATCAATAGAGGATGGCGGGTCATGGTGGAAATCCAAAAAACTGCCATAAAATTATGGCAGGTTATGGCGAAATTATGGCGGTGATGAATCCCTATTTTTACTAGTATTTTACTATAGTTTTAATCCATTTGATAAGGAAAAAATGTTGAAAAAAGCAGAAAAACTCATAAAAATAGAATGATTGAAAGTTTTCTTTAAATACACAGTTATTTTAACATTTTTGAATTTTCTGTTTATAGAAGAAAAGTAGCAAATCTGGACTCAAAGAACAAGGTTTATGGAGTGTGGGCTGGGCGTGATCATTATTGTCAGTAAAAGTGAATGATCCAAAGCTTAAATGAGAAGTGGAGTCTGTGCGTTGTCACTTTCGCTAGAAAAAGTGAGTGTTTCAGAGAGACTCCATACATAGCGAGAAGCGCGTGGTCACTCTCGCCAACGAAAGTGAGTGTTCCAGAGAGACCTTCAGCTTTGCAAGTTGCACGTAGCCACTTTTCCTCTTGAAAGTAAACACGCGCGCAACTCGACTTCCAGCTTTGCCACTTTTATGAATAAAAGTGATCATTCCAGTCTTCCAGAACATCAGATAAGTCTGCGCGTGGCTACTCTTGCGAAGTAAAGTGATAACGCACTCATTGCAGAAAATCTATAAATTGAAAAAACGCCTAGATCTTTGGATCTTTTGTTCATTTTTCATTTTCATTAGTTTTCTGGTGTTGAGGTGTTGAGAGAGTCTGAGAGAGAGAGTGGGGACGAACACCAACCTTCAAATCTTGAAGAATCGGATTGGAGATTAGCTTGAAGATTCTCCTCGTTCATCTTCTTCTTCTTCTCTTTCTTTCTCTTCTCATGTTGTAATGGTTGCTTGAACTCTTCATAGTTAAGGATTGTGAATCCAAAACGAATGTGTTGAATCGATTTTAGATCTGAACTTTGAGTATTGGATTGGATTGAGTATTTGATTATGCTGTTCATGTGGTGATTGAATGGAAATTCGGTTAACTAATCTCAGAGAAATTTTTATCAATAAAAATTGAACTTGTTTCTCAGATCTGAATCAAGTAGCAGGATTATTGATTTCTTAGAGATAAGATATCTTGATTTTGCAATCTTCTCGTTTCTAATGCTTAATGCAACATTCAATTGAACCAGATCTAAGGAATTAGAATGATTTAATTGAATGTTAGATTCATTGAGTTAAGGAATTAACCTTTGATTAATACAACGTGAAACTGATTGTCATTCCATCTAAATACTTGAAAGTTCAGAACTTTATTGAATTGACACTGAAGTTTTAGTGAAACAAATCCCTAGCTACATTTCTTACCTCTGTCAAACACACATTTTCATGTTCATTGTTCAGTTTTCTCTTCTGTGTTTAATATCAATTACTTTTCTTTTCAAACTTCATCTGAAATTCGTAAAGCTCAACTAATTGTGGACTTGTGAAGTGATAATTGAGAACTTTATTCCCTGAGGACGATATTTGGGACTCAAACACAGTTCTAACAATTTTATAACTTGCTACAATAACACTAGTACACTTGCTAGTCAAAATTACTTCTGTTTAGAAGGTGACAAGTTTTTGATAATAAAATAATAAATATATAAAAATATTATATATAGGTAATAAGAAATTATTGAAAACAAAATTAACTCAAAACACAAGTAGCTTCACCCATAATTTAATACAAAATAAACATTTTTAAGTTTTCTGTTACGTTATCTTTTTTTATTTATCTTTTCTTCCACAATTCTGTTTTAGGGTTCCAATAAAAATGTTTACTTTTTTTCTGTCCCACAGTTTTTAGGTATTTATAAGAATAAAAAAGACTTTTTCCACTTAAAAAATTTAGTTTTTCCTTTTTGCCCTATGTTTTAAGTTTTTTTTTAAGGGTAAAATAGTCTTATCACACTACTTCCCTAACCCTTTTTCTTTCTCCACTTCTGTTCGACGCTATTTTCTCCAATATCCATCTCTCTCTCTCTCTCTCTCTTTTAGTGGGCCATCTCTATCTTTAGTTTGGGTGGCTCCCTTCCCTCATTTGAAGGATCAGTTGCTGGAAATAGAGGTTGAAGTTGCCGGAGATGGAGGACCAGTCGCCGGAAATGAAGGTTGAAGTCACCGGAGATGGAGGACAGAAATGCAGTACTGACAATGGCACCCCAGCAAAACAAAGAGAAGATTGAAGAAGAGAGACACCTCAGCAAAATGCAGAACGAGATTGTCAAAGAGAGAGATCGAAGAAGAGAAATAGATTGGAGATAAGAAGGAAATGTTTATTTGCCTCACGAAGAGGGGAAGAGATGTCACCTTAGGGTTTTCCTGGACAGATCAACCTCTGGAACAGGTCAGGTTGTTGGCCCAAACATTGCAAAAAAACCCATTTTTCTGAAAAAAAAACGTCATATTTCCGCCGTTTCCTCCATGGCCACCATTACCGCCATGTGTGTAACGACCGCCATGAAAAACCGCCACACATTGCTATACCTGTAATGGCATCCTTCAAAAACACCATGCCATTCCACCGTGGCCCTTTTTTAACAACACTGAATCCAAGTGAATGTGCAATTTCAGGGGCCACAAAATTATCACTAGCCCCACTGTCTATCAATATTACTACCAGAACTCCACCTAACAGCCCACTTAGTCTCATTGCTTTTGCACCTTTTGGACCCAACTCAGAGAAGCCTAATAGACCCATCACATTGCATTCGAGTCCCTTGTCCTCTTCCACCTCATCAACTTCTACCACTTCTTAATCTTTGCCATCCATGTCTCATTCATTCCCAACCAACAGCATGACACATAGAGTTTTGTTTGGGCATTGATGTTTCGGCCCAAATCTATCTCCGCACTTGAAACACAGTCCCAACCTTCTTTCTACCAACTCTTCATTTGTGAGATGTCTAACACCCTTGGATTTAGGCCCTGCTCCTCTACGATCACCATCATTCCTACTCACACTCAAATGAATCGTAGTAGTGCTTGCTGAGTAATTTGGCACTTGCATCTTCAACCCCATATTCTTGGAGGTCGCTCCTGTTCGTGACAACCCTTGCTGGATGATTGCAGAAAACTCCTTTCTTGTCCTGTTTTTCACCCCTATCACATTCGCATAGCCTCCTCCAAGAAAACTCTGATTTCGTGCTTGCCCGAGCTCGCCTTCACCTCCTAATTCTGCCTAGCAATCCTCATAGCTTGCCTTCTCGTCATCAGATTAAAAGTCTGAATTCTCAGTCTGACTTTTGATTTCAAATCCCCCATGAAATATCCCAAATACAATCCTTCAGGTAATTTGAGAATTTGTGATGCCAACACCTTGAAGGCTCAATATACTCCTCTACAGAACCCTCCAGCTTCAATAAAGGCATTTCTTCAAAAGAATTATCAAGTCGACCTACCCCAAATTTGACAATCAAGGCTTGTTTCAGATTGTCCCACATAGGTTCTTCCTCCTCCCTCCATAAGTTGAACCAATGGATGGTGGTTCCCTACATGCATAACTTGGCAAACTTCACCTTTATCATTTCTGCCGTCTCATGCACGTTGAAATAGGTCTCACTCTTGCAAATCCTCCCGCGGGATCAACTCCATTGAATGCTAGAAGTTTCACTTTCTTGGTTGGAGAACGTAATTCCCCAAAACTTCCACACCCCCTTCAATCATTTCGCGAGGCCCCACTATTTTGATATTCCTCCTCCCTAATGCTATTAAATTTCTGAATTTCTATGAGCAACATTTGTTGTGTCTCTTGCATTCCCAGCATTTGTTCACAGAATGTTGTTTGCCGCTCCACTTGTTCTTGATAAGACGTCTGCATAACCCCAATCACCGATTCCACTTGCTGCATCCTTGTTTTGAGGACATTGACCCTCTCACTAATTCTTGTTGACAAGGGAAATTGTATCCAATAGGTCGAACCAATTGTTAGGATTCAAAGATTAAGAAAGATGAATATGAAAGAATAATGATGAATCTTTATTATTGAATCAGAAAGACTTAGGATGTTTACACACAATTTCCAGAGCTCTCAGCTCCTATCCAGAGATTGAATCTCCCTTTCTAGAATACAATTTTCCCTCCTTTATTTATGTTACCTCCTCCATTTATACTTGCTAACTAACTAAACCTTTAACGGTTGGTCCATTCTTCCTTGCATACACATGCCATATTTTGGGCTTAGCTGGGCCTTCATTCAGCAACCGTTCACTTTGATTGTCATCCATATTTTCTGGTCTAACAACATCACTTCAAGCAAGGCAATAATAGGAAATATGGAGCACTAAGAAAGACAAGTAGAGGAAATTTGATACCAAAAGTACAAATATAACCCAGAAGCCAATCTAGTATATACTGTATAATCTAAAGAGTTCAAGACAGACAACACTGACCATGTTTTCAGATGGCAAATCCTTGTCACCTTTTCCAGGGGCCTAAAAGCAAACAAAGGAGGAATCATCAGCTAATATAGATTACTTACGATAGACATCACACAGATATTAATCATTAAGAACATTATTACCTTCAAGTAATCAAACAATATAAGACACTGCACAAGAGCATGACGTCGAAAACTTGGGTCCTTTAACTATTAGGAATTCCACCAATAAAAAAAACAAAAACAAAAAGGGATCTTGAGTCAGAACATGAACATCTTGACTGAAAATTGATCATGCACTTTTAGTAGTAAGCATCAAGACTTAGTCAAACTGCTTACCTCTAGACCCATCAGTTTGCTGCTTGTAAGATATTTTATACTAAAATTAACTGCCTCTTCCTCCAAATTATTAGCATCTCCTTCTTCATCACTCAAAGGTTGTGCTTCAAATGTATTCAATACAACCTTTTATCCAACAAAAATTATGACATAAAAAGTCAAGAACTGAAGCAATTCCATATTTGTAAAACAATAAAACACATGCACACAAACAGAGAAGAAACTATCATATAAAGGATTACCGACAAACTGGAGGTGAATTTCTGCCACTTTGCTGGAGCATGATTAATGGAAGTAGGGTTAGAAAAATATTCCTGCATCAAATAAAACTAGACTGATCAAACATGCATGCTTTAAGATTTTATTTTTATTTTTAAAAAAAAGCAGTCAAAGTGTGTGATTCTGGCTCTAATATGTAGAACCATTCATCAGAAACTTCACCATTTTAAGATACATCAGAAAACAATGTACGTCAATCCACTTGTTTAATTTATTTAAAAAATTTCAAGCTACCAATTTTATGATTGCCCCCCAAAATTATCAGTGCTTGCCCCAAAAAGTAACCATTTTGTATGTTTCTTACAGAAACAAGGACCACCCATGAATTTCAGATTTTGTCTTGTTAGAACTTTTTGAAGAAGCTGAGAAAAATATAATAATAGAGGGTATTCTCCTAACAGCAATAACAATAACAAAAATAAAACAATAAAAGCAATGAAAAATGTCCATGCATATGCTCAAAGGAGCTCTCCAGTCCCTCTGAATGTACAACAACTAAACCCCTTACTGATGACACAAAAGGACAAACATAAAAATATGACATAAATAGACTTGTAGGTCCTGATTTGATAATTTAGTTGTATTTATGATATGGTCATATGATATTACAAAGCAAGTTGAATAAGTAGCGTCAACTTAAGAAAATGGAAGAGACCACTTTTCCCACCTCAAGAATTAAATTTTCATTGAAGACCTACCTGGAGACCCCAAAAAGTTTGATAAAAATTGAAATCAATACATATGCCTGGAAAGAGAGGTAAAAGAAATTATTAGCTAGAATTATAAATTAACCCTTAGTTAAATATTTGTATTAATAAGAATGAATTAAGAATGGCAATTAAGAAAGCTTAGATAATAAGCAAGGATGTACCTTCCAAGGGTTCTTTTTCATATTTTGTTTCATTGGATGTGTTAAAAACTCCTTTGATATTTAAGGCTGCAAGTTTTCATCAATAACTATAAGCGACAAGGTACCAAGAAACGGAAATAAAAAAAATATGAAGACAGGCTTCACAAAAATTATACCTGATCGCTCCGATAATGGAAAGAAATGAGCTAGAAACATGAGAATTCTTCCACAAAAGACCACATCATTTGCCTAAAACATGTAACAAAAAAACAACATTGGATTATGGATGTCATGGAAAGAATATCCAAATGCAGAGATTTATTCACACAGAAATAGGGATCCTACACAATCCTTAGTCCTGACTTAATCAGTACTACTCATTCAAGAATCAAAATTATAAAAAAGTCAACAAATGAGCAGTTTATCCTATAGCCACAAGAATGGAACAAAGAATATATATATATATATATATATATATATATATATATATATATTTGGGTGCCATTTGGTTTGGGAAATTTTTTTTTATTTTAACTTTTAATTACAAAAATATCATCTTGTTTTCAGTTTATTGTTTGCATAGAAAACAGTGAAAACATAAAAGGTTGGTTATTCTTCTTGTTCTAGTAATGAAAAAGTTATAATTGCCAATGGTAGTGTCTCACTTATTGTAAGCAAAGGTATCATCCCTTTATCTGTGTTAAAATGATCCACATCAATTACGAATATGCTAGGTTGTCAACAGCGCACAATAGTGCCTCTATAGCGGCATTGCGCCACATCACAGCGGCTTGCCACTATTCTCGCATCGTCACATTGCATTTTTTCATCGTGGCTATTGCAGCTGCTATAGCAGCAAAAAATGTGACCCACGTTAGGGCCACTATGTGGAAGAGATTCAATAGCTCAAATATGCCCTAAATTTTTAATGTTGGTTTGGGGGTATTTATTTTTGGGGTTTTCATATCATAATAAAATGGTTTCAAAAGGGTTCTTGAGAAGAGTCAATCCATTCCTCTCTTGATTTTTGCATGCTCTTCTCTCTAGTCTCTGCCCCTCTATTACAATGCGACTCATCAGCCCATTGCTCTTTGACAACTTTCCAGCCATGTCCTAGTATTTTCCTGTCAGAACTTGGTGTGTTCCGGTGAACCCATGCTCTCTCTCCACTGATTCTGCATTTTCAGTCAAGCGCCCTGTTTTCCCTTGTGTTCTCACTATTCCGCTGGTTGCTCTTCTTCTGTCCATTTCCTCCTTTTGTTTATTCTCCTTTTCATCGTGTTTAGTTGGTTATTGGTTATGATTTCTATTCTTTTTTTTTTTTTTTGTCTGAGTCCTCTGCTTGTTCTAATTTTTTTGTTCTCTCAAGTCTAAAGGTTTTTGTCATCTGTCTCCTAAAGACCCAGACTCATTATTATGACCAAGCTCTCTCCTTGCAATATACTTGAATATTTTGTTTAAGACTTGTGATTTACAATTGTCAATTATGAATAGGTCATGAATTTTGGGTATTTTTTAAGTTTAAGCATTAACATGTATATAGTATAAATTATGTAGTCTGCATGTAAAATTTCAAAATAGCAATTATCCCATTAAGCCCCATACCACTAGCATTTTTTAGAGTCAGCTATTATCCAAGATTGATAACTGTGGAAATATTACCAAAATCTTCCTTACAAGACTCGGGCAATCCTCCTCTGATGACTAGCTTTAGCAAATGGGTTAAGCTTGATTTTCTAATACAGTATTAGAACCAATCTAGTTTGAATGTTGAGCTACTCGCAAATGCCTAATCTTACAAACTTCATGCACCAAAAATCCAATCCTAAAGGTGAGAGAGTGTGTTAAAATATTATATATCAGCTAAAAACGTAGTTAACAATTAAAATACTCATTATAAAGCTAGGACAAGCCTCCTGCTATGAGCTAGCTTTCGAAATTAAGTCCAAGCCCAAATTTAATTATCTACTACAAACCACTTGAAATCCATCCTTCATTCTCCTAAACTTTCTTATAATCTTGTCTGCTAACAAACTTTGTTGTGATACTAATTGCAAGGTTGTATTCATGGATTCTTTTTGTGTTTTAGGACCAGATTTTGGAGTAGATGATTGGCACTGCTGGGATGATAGATGGATTCTACTACTTCAATAAAGAACCTTCCAAGGATAAAATAGCTCAAGGACAAATAATGCTTTGGCATTTTTTATTAGGATATCCAGGCTTGTAGTATCTTAAACATATGTTTCCAACTTTATTTCAGGATGTAGATTGTTCCCCTTTTCAATGTGAAATTCATGGTCTTGCTAAAAGTTATCACATTTCTTGTACTCCAAAACCATACTATGCTCCTAAACCTTTTTACTTTATCCATAATGATGTTTGGGGTCCCTCAAAAATTACTACTCAATTTGGAAAAAGAAGGTTTGCAAGCTTTATTGATGATCATACATGATTGTATTGGATATATCTAATGCGTGACAAGTCAAATGTAGCAACTTTGTTTGAGATTTTCTGTAACATAGTTGTACACAATTTAACATTAAGATAAGTATACATCTTATTAACAGTAGAACTGAATATTTCAATAATTACCAGGGAAATTTCTCAATAAAATAGGGAATTTAGCAACAATTTACGTGTCCTAACACCCCTCAACAAAATGGCATTGCTGAAAGAAAAAATAGGAACTTAAAGTTACTAGAGCTATCATGTTCCATATGAATGTCCCTAAATATTTGTGGGGTGAAGCTGTCTTAACAGCTGCTAAATGAATAAATAGGATGCCTACACATGTCCAAAAATTTCTCACACCTGTAGAAGGTTTTAAAAGATCTTTCCCAGATTCTTAAATGCATACTGATTTGCCTAAAAAAAAAAATTATATACACTATTTTTGTCCACATTCACATCAATTCACAATCTAAATTTGATGCTCAAGCCAAAAAATGTGTTTTTGTGGGATATGCCCAAGATGCGGTCTATCATGAGTTAGCTTTTAAATGGTGTATTACCGTATGGCTGTATTGATGAGTTAGCAACTTTAACCGTAGGATATATTTATGATCTAATCAATGGCAAGGGCAATTAAGTATGTACAGGTAAGGAAGATAACAAAATCCCTATGGTTGAGATACAGCAGAACAATGCCAAAGGCCAATGACAGAACATCAGACTAATATTTTGGGGGAAAAGGTAAATGTGTTTGTGGGTGGCTCAATGAGGTTGCATCGGCACCAAAGTTGTGTGGTGGTTGGCAGTGGCAGTCTGTTGGTGCATGGTGAGGGATGTGGCAATGGGTTCAGTGATGCCAAGGGGATGTGACAGGGTAGGTGGTGGTTCACCGAGGAGGCTAAGAGGTTTGGGAAGGACAGTGGTTTTTGGTGACAGTTGGATAGGCTCTAACACTATATTAGAAATGGAGATGATCTAAATCAAACCCAAAAACTAGCTCACAGGGAGGGATCTGGATTTCCCAAGAATTTATAAGGACTACTTCTTACGCCTCATACCTACCCAATACAAAACATCTTAACATCATAAAAATATTTTTTTACACCAAATTTCAAAGACCTAATTGCCTTTCAGTTTTTGGTCAGCAGCATAACTCCTGCCTATCAAAGTGAACATTACAGAAAGCTTTTTGGCCATGCTCACAGCAGCTGATAATATGAGAAACACCCCAGTGTATTGATAGACATGAAAGTATTTTAAAACAATGGGGAATAAATAACAGTGTCTTGATGCAGTTAATTGCACGTCTTCCTAATATGCAGTATTCATTGACTACTGTTATTGACAATTTTACCATATAGTAGAGGTCTAACATAATGTGGTAAAACTGGTCCAGTATAGTAGGAGAAAGAAAGAAATAGATCTGTATTATTCACAAGTACTCCCTCTGGTCGATGTGACCAAGCGGTAGAAACAATACAATGTGCACAGGGTACTCTAGAGACCTTGAATACTCTCCCAAAACCCATCCATTCCCTTTTTTCACTCCCCTTCCTGTTATATCCCCTTATTCTATTACTGATCAGTCCTAACTAATTCCGTTAGTTAGGTTCTGGTCTCCTATCTTATTCCTATTTTGCCTTGTATACACTTTCTTTAATATTAGTCTGCTATCATAATGATGACAAACAATAAATGCCATTTGCATCCAAATGAATATGAACAAAAAAAAAAAAGGGAAACAAGAAAAAAGGAGAGACAAAAAGAGCACTCAGAGTTGAAACACAAACAAAAGAAGCAGGAATAATAGTTTGATCTTTAGAGACGGTTTAAATTTGTGTTTGGTGAGCTGTGAAAAAAAAAATTATTTCAATAATTGAGTATATCTATAAGCAGTCATCCTCATCATTGACAGAAAAAAAAAATTATGTTTGAAGATATTAGGTAAAATGAAATTAAGATAACAATTTGCTTTTGTTTGGATTATATAAAAAAATAACCCCATGTGTCAAGAGAAGTATTGTGGAAAACTATAGAAAGGAAAAGATTTTGTGTAACATATATTCAAACTAGACAAGACATGTTTGATAGGATAACTACAAACGTGAGAACTCCTGATATCACATATCTAACAACTTTCCTATAGGGATAAACTTATATTAGGACTTTACTTTGAGTGTTTACTTGTTTAACCTATTCTTAAATGTGCTTATAAATAGGATACAAAAATTATCCCCAAGTGCATACTTTGGATAACATAGTTTTGGTCAAGGAATCAAAGAGGTTAACTTTAAACTCGAACTTTGGAAGCACACTTTGGAATCTAAGGATTTTTGTTTGAGCAGAAGTAAATCATAGTATATGCATTGGAATTTTTACAAAAAGTAATATGTTGATTATGCATTAAAAGTTAAAATTGAAAATGACGTAATCAATGTTGTCAAGATCGTGATTTTACCTAGGATCGGGAGGAGGGTCAAAAATTGTAAATCGTGAAATCGTAAAATAGATCGTACGATCCTACCAAACATGTAAAACTATACTTAAACATACATATAAGCATAAAAAATAACAAATAAGGAAATTAACATCTAAATAACATAAAAGTCATAGATTCTAGATCCAATACAACACATAATTAGTCAAACTAGTACTAATTTATTACAATAAATTTTGCAAGCCCCAATCAGAATAATCATCTTCTAAATAGTCATATTTATCAATATCATCTACATTAACCTCTCCATCATCATCAGCAGGTCCACCCACACAGAATTGAGACAGACTCACCCAAATAGAACCAGCCACACCCACAGAGAATTGGGAAACAGCAGTGAACCGGAATAGCAAACCACCAAACACCAATCAACACGAAACCAATAGGAGGAGCAAATCAGAACAGCAAATAGTGACCAACACAAAACTAATAGCAAACCAGAACAACCAGCACCAACCAACAACAAACACCAACGAACAGTGACCAACCACACCACCCTGGGTCGCAGCACGAAAGAGAGAAGATGAGACTGCATCGCACCAAAGAGAGAAGATGAGAGAATGGGTCGCAGTCGCACGAAAGAGAGAAGATGAGAGAATGGGAAAATTTTGGGGGAAAAACTACCCTACATATATTTTTAAAAACGGGTCAGAAAAACCTGACCCGGAAACCCAACCCACAAAAGCCCAACCCAAAAATTCAAGGCCAGAATCTGATCTAGAAAGCTGCGCCCAGGATTGGATCGGATCTCCGATCCTACAATCCTGTGGGAAAAGATCAAGATCTCAGCCAATCTTCCACATTTGCAATCCCCATTCCAATCAAGATCGCGAGGGTGGTTTAGGGTTGTAAAATTGTGCAATCATGCAATTTTAATCGCAATTTTAACAACATTGGACGTAATATCACAGGCATGGTAGTTAAAATCGCAATTTTACACGTAAGATCGTACGATTTTACGATTTTCTCATGCCTTAGCAATCTCGATCACACTCTCTGACTCGTTTTGCTAGGATTGGTAAGATCATAAGATCTCATAAGATCATATATCGAACAATTTTTCCGATCCTGCTTGAACTCATTTCTTTTGAAAAAAAACCAACTCTTACCCGATTTTCATTGGCTCATTAGATTAAAGACTTTAACTCATTCATTTTGGCACTTTACTTCGCCTTTTTTTTTTCTCTCTTATGCACACAAAAGTTTTGAACCCCTTGGTTTTTCTTCTTTTGGGTTTGGCCCTATTCACTTCAGTTCTTTTGCTTCTGGGTTTGAACTCCTAGTTCATTTTCTTATGGGTTCAACTACTCCTTGCTTTGGTTTAGTTGCTACACTATTTGGGACCCTAGATTCAAGTTTCTGATCTCTGCTAGGTTACATTCTTCTAATCTGTTTAGTTATTTACAAAATTCTTTTAAAGTGGGAAAGAAGCTGCTAGGGAGGATAATGGCAATTCAGGTGGGGCTAGAGTTGGAAGCAGCTAGTATAATGCTGCCGGTGGGGGTTTTGAATTTGGAACTGTTGTGACTAAGTAATTTAAGGTTATTTTGTCTTATTTTTATTAATTTTTATGCATAGTCAATAGTGGCCATAGCAGCCACTATCATGGAGGAGCGGAGTGGAGCTGCAAGTTGCCGCTATAGGGAGCTTGTAGCGCTGCGTTTTCAGTGTAGTGGCCATCGCGCCGCGAATAGCAGCCACATCACGAGAGAATCACAGCCATAGTGGCCGCTATTTCATCCCTGGCCAAAACACAACTTTTTACATCTTTAAATAGGGGTAATTTTGGGATTTTGCCCCCTTTTTACATTTCTGATATCTTGTTCTTCCTAGCAAGCCCTAAGTTTTTCATTTTCATCTCTCAATTCTCCTCTCAGTTCTCTCTAGTTTGTTCTTTCCCATCTTCGTTCTCTGCGACATTTTCTTGCTTCTGGTGTCCTCCATCTCCAACAAGGTTTTTGATGTGACAGCCGTCCTCTGGTTATTTTCTTCATCTCCAATGAAGCTTTTGACGTGACTTAGACGTTTTCCAGTCGTCTTCTTCTCCAGTTGTCTTCTTCAACTCAGGGAAGCTTCCGACGTGATCCAAATATTTTCAGTCCTGTTCTTCATCTTTGATAAAACATCTGACAAACCTGCACATTTTCTAGTGATTGACCATTTCTCTCTTTTATTATTTTCTTCTCTGTTTTTATTTCCTTCTCTATTTTTTATTGCTATCTATTTTGGATATTAATTTTATATTAGGTATAATACTTAGAACTTCAGGATAGCGGGCATCCCGCAATCCGCTATGCCACTATAGCGTTTTTGAGGTCAGCCGTTCCGCACTACTATCTGGGATTGACTACTATGATTTTAAGATTCTACGATCTGTGTAATGATTACACGATTTACATGTTTCCCTAACCTTTCCAATCTTAGGTAGGATCTCGATTTTAACTACTTTGATCATAGGTGTTCCAAATTTAGGTACTAGAGATCAATTTTACGGAATAATAGAGAAACTAACAAATATGTCACTCATAGAATATAAGTTGAGTGGTTAAAGTAGAGCAAGACAAACATTAATTTATTGTTATGAATAGCTATAATAGATGTATTAGGATTAGGATTTATATTAGTATTATAATAACGGGTTTGACCCAGTAAGGTTACATGTGTATCCTTATAAATTTAAATGTCTCTACACATTGTAGAACATCCAATTACAGCACACTCATTTGTCTCTCTACATGCTCTCTCTCTCTTAATTCTACATTTATGATCATAAAGCACCTGTTAAACTGAAAGAAACGTTTTATCATACTACCGTACAACCAAATATCATACATGATAATGAATTGGGGCTTTAAAAGACCACAAGGAAAAAGGGAGAGTTGCAAAAATGAAAATACTAGGATGAATAAGTGGTCACATAAGAAAATTCAAAATAAGAAATAAGTGTATACTAAAAGTATTGAAGTCACCTATTGTAAAAAAATTAATAAAAAATCAATTAAAGTGATTTGGAAATGTGCAAAGAATATATTGGAAGCACCAGTAAAAAGAGTGAATGGCATGAAATTTAATCCAATGAAATAAGGTTTAGTAATAAATAATATTACAGAATTTGATTTTTATCTAAGCTTCGAGTGATTCATACAGCCGGCCTTAACCAGCGAAATAAGGCTTGGCGGTTGTTTATATAAATAAATAACCACATCTTTTGCAGTAAAATTACAAAAAGAAATTATATGAAGTTATTTGTAATATTAAGTTTTGCAGTTAAAATAACTAATTGCAGGGATAAAATGAGAAAACAAAAGTTAGCTAGAAATAATTTCATAGCTTTTAATCATAATGTCCAAAATTTTTATAATTAAAAAACAAAATTCATCACTTCCCATTATGTTGCCAAACATACCAACTTTATTAAAAAAATACATCTTTAATACTTCAAAAATGATTTACTTCAAAATAATCTTTTGACCAATCACACTAAATATTTAGTCAAAAGCTAACTTTTTTTATTAGAACATAATTTGTGCTACATGACATGTACCTTTGATAAACGACGAAGAAGCTGATTGCAGGTCCTCAGCATCACAAGTTTTCCTCGAGCAAAGAGTTCTTGCTGTATGTCATGCAAACACAAAAGTTCCAAAGAAATATATGTCATGATGAGGTATTTATGGAGTAAATAATGAATTATAAAGCACAAAGAACTTAAAACAACTATAAAATATACCTTGCCCAATATATCTTGTTTACTCTCAATATAGCCAAAAATATCTTTGCAGTTTTTCATTGTAGACATTTCTGTCAAGTCTTCCAGCAGTTGAAAAATCATACCACCTTCAATGTGTTCCTTCTCACAAAGATATAGCACAATATCTGAAAAAAGCGAAAACCACATACAATATGAGTAGGAGAAAAACATAGGACTTTACAATTAAGGATGTTACTCATTCAAGCATTCCTATATGGACAAAATACTATAAGAATGTAAAAGTTAATGGCTACAATAAAATCCATAATCAAAACATAAAGACTTTTGAAATGTATGCAAATAAGAATCTCCAAATAAATTCCTTCATAAAGACAAAACTACCAGATTCTCAACGATGCAAAGCATCAAAAAGGTATATGTTTCTAGTTCAAAACTATTTCCCTCATTTTACTTTAAGTAAGACAAAAACATGGACTCCTTGAAATTTCATTCTGAAATTTATAAATTTTAACTTTGTTTTTTTTAATAGAAGAAACATTGTTAGAGAAAAAGTAAAGAGATAAAAGTATAAAAGGTTAGAGATAAGAAATTCTCAACAAAGAAGACAATAGAAAAGGTACAAAAAGAACAAAGAAAGAAAACTCCTGACAGAGAGGAAAGGAAAGGGTTTAAAGGGCTTAGGAGGGGAGGAGAATGAAGAGGAAAGAGGGTTAAACTCCTCCCTTGTTTGGATATTTAATATTGAGTGGGAAGAGCAATGAAAGGTTTAACATGTAAATGACATTATTACTTTTTTATACTTTTTATTCATATATTTTTTGTCTTTTATTTTTTCAGAAAATATAAAATTAAATATTTCTCGCTAAAAATTAATAATTGTAAAATTTCTATTTCTATTTTTTATAATTTTAAAAAAATTCTCATTCTAAAAACTAACATTTTTTGAAAAAAAAAATATTTTTTTTTTATTTTCTTGCTATTCTAACTCTAGACCATGCTAAATATTTAATCTAATAAATAGAAATATAAATGATACTTGAGATAGAAGCACACAAACTAATTAGGGTAAAATTTGAGGGTTCTCATTGTCATTCAGCAGTCCTTATAATTACATTTTGTATTAACTGAATCCCTTGATTATAGTGATTGATTGAGTAAATTACAGCTGACCCTAATTACCTTATTTACATAATAAATTAGATTTCTACATAAAAGAATAGAATGGTAACTACATTAATAATGCAAATAAAGAGATTCTCAACACTCCCCCTCAAGCTGGTTCATATATATCATATGCATCAAGTTTATTTCAAATTTATGTTATCGTTGGACCTCAAAGTGACTTAGTAAGCATGTCAGTCAATTGGTCATTAGAATTCACAAATAATGTAATAATCTCACTAGAAAGAACCTGCTGACAAAGAAAATGGTAGTCAATCTTTATATGTTTAGTCCGCTCATGAAAGACAGGGTTAAAGGCAATATGTAATATTGTCTGGTTATCGTAAATAAGCCTCATAGACCCTACATCATAAAACTTTAACTCAGAAACAAGTTGCTTTAGCCATACAAGTTCGCATGAGGTATTGGCCATTGCTCGATATTCAGCCTCAGCGCTTGATCTAACTACAACATTTTGCTTTTTACTCTTCCAAGCAATAATGTTATCTCCAATCAATACACAATATCCTAAGGTTGATCGTCTACCACTTGAGACGCTAGCCCAATCCACATCTATGTATGCAACAAAATTAGTACGGTCTCTGTATTCATAGACTAATCGTTTTCCAAGGGACCCTTTGATGTATCTCAAGATTCGAATCACTGCATCTCAATGACTATCACGAGGAGAGTTAAGAAATTGGCTTACAACGCTGACTGCGAAGGATATGTCTGGCCCAGTCATAGTAAGATAATTCAACTTCCCGACTAATCTTCAATATCTATTTGAATCTGAATACAAATCCCCCTGACCCGACATAAGCTTGACATTTGGATCCATAGGGGTATCAACTGGCTTATAGTCCAATATTCCTGTTTCCTTCAAAATATCAAGAGAATTTTTTCTCTGAGATGTGACAACACCAGTTTTTGATTTACTTCAATCCGAAGGAAATATCACAATCGACCCAAGTCCTTGGTTTGGAAATGTTGAAACAAATACTGCTTGAGTCAGGTGATACCATCATGATCGTTGCAAGTGATAACAATGTCATCTACATAGACAACAAGATAAATGTACTGGTTAGTAGAAGAGTGTTTATAAAACACAATGGTCTATCTCATTGCAAGTCATTCCAAATTGTTGGAGAACTATACTAAATCTACCAAACCATGCTTGAGGACTTTATTTAAGGCCATATAAAGTCTTAGGTAACTTGCAAACAAATCCTTGTGACTCCCCCGACCAGGAGGTTGCTCCATATAAATCTCTTCTGCTAGATCACCATGGAGAAATGCATTTTTAATATCTAGTTGATAAAGGAGCCAACAATGTATGGCAGCCATGGGTAAAAAGAGGCGAACAGAGGTTATCTTTGCAACAAGTGAGAAGGTGTCGCCATAATCAAGCTTGAAAATTTGTGTAGCCTTTAGCTACCAATCGAGCTTTTAACCGATCAATCTGTCCATCTAAGCCCACCTTGATAGCAAATACCAACAACAACCAATTGTAGATTTCCCATGAGGAGAGGGAAAATGTGTCCAAGTCCGGTTGGATTCCAAGGCCTGCATCTCATCAATCATAGTCTGTCGTCACCCTGGATGGGAAAGTGCCTCTTGGACTGTTTTAGGAATAGTAACAGAGGAAATGGCAGACACAAAGCATGATGGGATGGGGATAATCAACAATAACTCAAGAAATTATAAATGGGATGAGGATTTCGAGTAGAATGTGTACCTTTAGAAGGGCTGTTGGCAAATCAGCAAGAAGGATCCGAAGTAGGTAGAGCGATTGGTGTAAGAGATGAATTGTCTGAATCTTCAACAACTATTTCCTCCAATGGAGCAAGATGAGGGCGACACTTGTAGATAGCCAAAGGACAAGGAATAGTAGGTAAAGGAGTAGCAAAAGCAAGAGTCTCTAGCGCATCGAAAACTAAATAGGGATTAGTGACAAGAGGAATATAGTAAGGAATGGGAAGAACCTGGAAAACTAAGTTTGGAGAGACTAATGTGGTGAAATATGGTGTATCTTCAAAAAAGGTGACATCAGCTAACATATAAAAGCGATGAATGGATGGGGAAGAACACATGTATCCTTTCTACAAGCAAGAATAACCCAAAAAGAGACACTTAACAGCATGAGCAGATAATTTGTCAAGACCTAGAGTGAGATCATGGACAAAACAAGTGGAACCAAAGACGTGGGGAACATTAAATGGGGAGTCATTAGGAAGCAAAATTGAATGAGGTACTTTGTTATTTAAAGCAAAGGACGGCATCCTATTTATTAAAAAAGTTGCTGTCAAGACAGCATCACCCCAGAATTTTAAAGGTACATTAGCATGCAGCAGAAAAGTTCAAGCAGTTTCAATAATATGACGACACTTTCTTTCTGCAATACCATTTTGTTGAGGTGTGTGTGGACAAGTGGATTGATGCAGCATGCCATGAGAAGTCATAAAATGATTAAAAGATGCAGAAAAATACTCTTTGGCATTATCACTACATAAGATGAATAGAACGACCAAATTGTGTTTGAATTTCATTGCAAAAACTCTGAAAAATTGTACATAATTCTGAGCACTCTTTCTTTAAGAAAATCCAAGTTCATTTTGAGTAGCCATCAATGAAAATAACAAAGTACCTATGTCCTAACTCCTATGATAGAATTAACACGACTCAAACCCCACACATCTGAATGAACAAGATCAAATAGAGATTTTGCTTGACCATGGACAGCACTTGGAAAAGAGGCTCGAATGTGTTTACCTAATTGACATGATTCACACTCCAAAGACTGTAAATGAGAGAGGTGAGGAACCATTTTCTTCAATTTATTTAGACCTAGATGACCTAGACAACGATGCAACAGGAGAAGGGAATCTGTAACAGTGCAGACAACAGAGGATGGAGGTTGGAAATAATAAAGACCATGCGATTCAGATCCAACTCCAATCATTTGACCCATACTCCAGTCTTGTATAAAGAAAGATTCAGCAGTTAATGTTATGGAACAATTATGAGTACGAGTAAGTTGACTAACTGAGTCCACATTAAAGGGACAACCAGGAACACAAAGAACAAAGTTTAAGGATAAATTAGGAAGAGGGGTAGTTTGTCCAGTGCCAATGGCATTAGCTTTTGAACCATCAGCAAGCGTGATGTGGTGTGTTGTTTTAGGTTGTGACAGTTTTGAGAAAAGAGAGGGATTACCCGGTGTCGTTAGAAGCACCAAAATCTAATATCCAAGGTCCACCAAATGATGAATGAGAGGGGCAAACTGTAGAGTTACTAGATTGAGCTATGGCAGAGGAAGACTGTTGTGCTGCTACCTACAGTTGGAGGTACTTCTTATACTCCATATCTAACAAAACATTCTGGTTGATTCCATCAAGTTCAGTCTGTTTTTCCACAGCGGAAGATTGAGAGTACGTCACATTGGCTGATTTCTCAAGAAACCCAATTAAAGAATAGCACTTATCTTAGGTGTGGCCCATACATTTACAATAAGAGCATTGTGGACAATTTCCAAAAATGTGACCTCCTCTTCCACCACCTCAGCCATGATTTCAACCTCCATGGCTGATCACATTAGAGAAGAATGCAAAAGATTCCAAATCTGGTTGGGAACCATTTCCTGACATAGTTTCTAGAGGGGGGACACGTAGTAGGCAGTTGATTAGGTTTTCTATTGTAGGTACACTGGAATTTGTCAAAATTTAGTTCCGAATAGATTCAAAATCTTTGTGAAGGCCATGAAGGATGAACACCATGCACATGTTATCAATTTTGTCTAGGCCTTTCTAAAGGTCATCACCTGTCAAGACTAATTTAACTTCATCAATGGTGGACTGTGCTCTATTCAAGTATGATGGGAGGTTGTTATTTGTCATTTTAAGTGCAGCCAAATTATGTACAACATCATAGAGACGTTGAACATCATTCGAATAAACACTACAAGCTTTCTAGCATATATCGTAACATGTCTTATATGTACGAAAATAGACTAACAACTTCAGATTAATGGACTGCCACTGAAGTGAGACTAACTGATAATCTGCCTTCTTCCACTGATCTCGTTCAGTGGGATTAATGTCATTTGCCTTCTTAGTCAAATGATCAGAGAGACCTTGACCCAAAAACCAGATTTCCACTGCAGCTTGCCAATCCATATGATTTTTCCCATTAAGTTTCTCTGAAGTTATTGATGGATTTCCAAAGAAGACAAAGGATACAAGGTTTTTGCTTAAGGATCCAATGCTGTCAGAGGTAGCAGTTGACTTAGGAGTTGACTCTGTTGGACCTGAAGCCATGATTACTAAACAGGGTGAGATATGGAAGGGATTAAACAAAGTTCACCAACCTAGAAATTGACACCCAAAAGAGATAGAGGGGGGTGCGCTGACAAGGTGAATGGCACCAACGGTGAGACAGTGTCGTGTAGAATGGCGCGTGGCTCATATGCGCCGACGAATTGGCTCTATGGTTGTTGCGTAGAATGGTGCGTGGCTCATATACGCCGACGAGCTGGCTTTGTGGTTAGCGCGCATGGCAGCGCATGGGCTTTCGAGAGATGGCAGCGATCAATGGGATAATCTGGGGCTAGTGCCGAAGTCTCAAGCCAAATGTGGCTGGACGTCACGACAACTAGGGTTGACAGTTCTATGCATTTTGCTTTATCAGGTCCACAGAATGTGAGCTTTGATACCAACTTGAGACAAAAGTACACAAACTAATTAGGGTAAAATCTGTGTGTTCTCATTGTCATTCAGCAGTCCTTATAATTACATTCTATACAAACTAAATCCCTTGATTATAGGGATTGATCGAGTAAATTACAGCTGACCCTAATTACCTTATTTACATAATATATCAGATTTCTATATAAAAATAAAGAATGGTAAGTACATTAATAACGAAAATATAGAGATTGTCAACAATGATAAACCCCACTACGAGTCACTAAAACCCTCCAAAATAGGAGAACTCAAAAAAACAAGGTTAAGAGGGTTTTGGAAGGTTTAGAAAAACTCCCTAACCCTTCCCCTCATATTTATTTAACTTCTAAACAAGGGTCAGTGATCATTGACCCCTCCCTTCCCCTTACCTCCCCCTCCTCAACCTGAAATCCAAACAAAGCCTAAAACTAGTCAGTTTCACAGGGTTGCCCTTAAAATTGATATCATCTCCAATTCAAGAAAAAACACAAAAGTGCAAATGAATACATAATTATATAAAAGGTTGGCATTAACTGATAGGAAATATCAATTTGATATGGTTATAAAGGATGTCAATCACACAAGGCAAACATTTAATGCTAAGTTCCAGGTTGCAAATATCTGCTCTGCACAAAATAACGACTAGAATAAACAATCACAAATTGTGGTCCTAAGTTTTGTTCTCAAAAATTATTATCATGAAATTCATTTAATATGCGCTTAGCCCGACGTTTTCTTTTTCGGTTTTTGGCAATAGGTTCCATGTTTACCTTTCTATGTTATTTTTCCTTTCCCAGCATTTATATTCTATACATGATTAATCATAATTTCCTATAAATGCTCCATTCATAAAAAATATTTTAAAAAAAAGCCTTGTAGGAGGGTGATATATACTACATCAAAATTATAAGAATAATTTATTGTAAAACACCAGAAATAATGTTTTCTGAGAGTGAAATGGTACATGCACGAACCAAGAAGGCGTGGAATGTGGCCCTGGGTAGTTTCACTAGAATCAATTGATTGCCCAAATTGCATTATTTTCTCCCCGGACTGTACTGCTGCTGACTGAAGCAAAGTGCAAGCAAAATAATTGAGATCATAAACAAACATAACCAAGGCAACAATAATACAGAGAAGGGAAAAGAAACACAAACAGCATTAGATAGGCCCATATCTGAAATAGTGCTTCTTAAAAGACTCTTAGTTTAGAGTTCACATTATATAAGTCAATAAAGTGACTTGGTAACACTCAATACCACACACCATTCAATTAATCTAAGATTACATTTGAATGTGAAGAAAATGAGAGCAAAAAAAAAATACATGGACCAGTTTTTGCTGGCAATTTTTACTGGTTTTGGAAGAAGCCCAAGTTTTCTTGCAAGAAGGTGCAATATTTCCTACACTGTGGTGCATTTGGGTGTCGAATATTTCTCACAATTTTTAAAGATATCCATTCAGATAAGCAGTTCCTTTGGGATATACTAGGCATTTGTCTTTCATGTGGTATAAAGCACATAGCCTTTTCAAAGCCCTTACAAATATGTTGAGGAATTAGGTAGCTTTATTCCATCAATGTCCATTGTTCCTCAGAGAAATTCTAATACACTCTTTGACACATAATTTTCAACCCACTATTTATTATTGGCTAAAATTCAGTGGGTTGCTAGTATTTCTCTTATTCCTTAATGTAAACTTTGTTGTCTTCTTTATCTTAAGGCCTCCATAATGCTCCTCTATTTGTCATTAATAAATGTCTTCTTGGTCATTGGTTTGTTTCTTGGTTACTACCATGAGCAACACAAGGAAAGTAAAGTATTTCTAGCAGTTGTATAAACACCATTTAAAATTGAGACATGGCATGAACATTTACATTGGTATTTTACAAGGATAAAAAACAAATTTGTAGAATTAGATTGTTACTATATATAATATATCTAACAAACACAAGAAACAATTGACCATATACCAACAAGGACAGCAGCTAGACATACCACAAACTCCTGAAGCAGCATGCGTAGAATATTTTCTAGGAACTGGTTCTCATCTTGGGCCAATTTTGTTTGTTTCTGTCACAAACAAGTCAATTAAATTAACCACTGCTGTTAACAAAATCACAAGAAAACTACCAGAAAAAAGAACTTCATCCTCATGTTGTCAGATCAGTTTGGACTCACGCAAAATCAGGAAATGGAATCATGGATCAACAATGCAAGTCAAAAGAAAAACATATTCTCTTTTTCAACACAAAAGCTGTAGTTCAAGCACTGCCTTAAATAAAATTTCTTCCTTTTATTGAACCATCCATACATTGCCCCAACAAAAAATGAACAAGAAATATTAATCAGAATAACAGACATAATCAATTCTAATAATAATAAGTAATAAGCACCACCCCCAATGTATTATTTCTCAGAATAAAGAGCCAAAATCATTATTACATCTGGAATTTTACAAACTAGTTGGACAATGTCCATTAACATGTACAGAAGAGGAGTTAAAATTTCAAAAGAATGGACATACTTGAGGCTTTATTACTTCTTGAACCGTCTGCAAAGCAAAACTTTCAGGTGGCCCAGGCTGTATTATGGCCCTTTTGAAGACCTCCTGAGAACAAGAACCAATCAGAAAAGATATAACCAAAGAAAATGAAACAAGATAAAAACAGCAGGAAAGAAAAATACTTCTATAAAATTGCAGTTCAGTCATGATAATCTATCCAGTTTGATACAAGAAGTTCTGACAAACAAATAATCTAGTTGCATTACACAGTCTAGCACCTATATTAAATAAATACCCACAAAAACATTAAAACCATAGAAACGATTGGGTGTAACGGATTAACCATGCCCTTCGAGAGCCAAACCCACCAGACATGAAAATCATGTATGGGTTTGAGTTTTACCTATTAAAAACTGAACCTATGTGACAATGTTTCACAAGAAAAATGTAGAAGGAAGCTTACCATGACGAAGTTTGAACACAAAACCCTTGTTCTTTAGCGAACCGCCGAGCCTTCAATAATAATTGCAATTTAAAAAACAGAGAGAGCACAAAACCCAATATTAATTCTGCAAGATAAAAAATTAAATGAAAAACTCATTTTGATTGCACGAAACTTGGAAAATCGAAGAGAAAAGATCACCCACATGCAGAGTTGAATTGATAGGGTGATTGCTGTGTGACGAGAATGGTGGGTTTAACTTCCGAACAAGCCTTCGTAGTCGCCATAAATTATTACTGCGTGCCCGTTAGTGCCCTGCTCAGTGCTCACTCTATATCCGTTAAGAAATTTCAACTAAGTACGAATTATTATTTCAACCATCTTAAAAATACCTTAAATTAAAACCTTTTTTTTTTTTCAAATTTAAGGGAAATTTTATATATTTTTTTAATTTAGTGTGTGTTCAAAAATTTACTAAAACTTAAGTTAAACTACGTTTCGACGTTAAAGTTATAATTTATAGTATTGAAATCGATCAACGTTTGAATAGATTTGACATTACAGATTCGATATTTTATGTTTATTTTTTCTACTTTAATTCTTTAATTTTTATATAATTTAGTATTCTATATTTCTCCTTCCGCTTCTTTTTATAAAAAACAATGAAATATTTTTTTAGTTCTTATTATAAGAATCAAATAATAGATTCAAGATATATTAATTGTTAAATTTCTTTTATACTCTTCTTTCATTAGTATCATTAAATATACAAAATACTAACTACACTATTTAGCTTCTTTTTATAAAAAACAATGAAATATTTTTTTAGTTCTTATTATAAGAATCAAATAATAGATTCAAGATATATTAATTGTTAAATTTCTTTTATACTCTTCTTTCATTAGTATCATTAAATATACAAAATACTAACTACACTATTTAATATCATAGATATTTTTAAAATAAAATTTATATTTATAAAAAAATATAACAGAATTAATTGCTTTCTTTGATCCTGATGATTTAGTCTTTTATTTTTTATAAAAAAAAGACAGTATTTGTTTAGGACAAATTTTATTTTTTTTTTGTCTTTTAATTTAACCAAAGTTTTAAAAATAGTAGCATTTAGGACAACTTTTTTTTTCTTATCTTATATTTTATTTATTTTATTATTTACGATTAAAACTTCTAAATCATCACTTAAAATTTTTTTAATTAATTATTTCAAATTCTATCTATTACATTTTTTTATTTTAATACTTAACTAATTTTTTTTAATTTTATACTTAACGATAACCTCTATCAGTTAGATGGTGACACAGTTGCCACGTCACTTCCAATTTCTCTCCTCCATTTCACCCTTAAATTTTCACGTCATGAATCTACATCAACATTTTTTTTAAATTAAAATTCAAGCACAAGGAACCCTAATTTTGAAACATTGCTCGCTTGAATCTTAATTCTTTTATTTTTTAATTTTTTTAAAAAAATAAAATGCTGATGTAGATTCATGACGTGGAAATTTAAGAGTGACATGGAGGAAAGAGATTGAGAGTGACATGACAAACTGTGAATCACGTCACTATTTAACTGACGAAGGTTAACGTTAGTAACAAAATTTAAAAAAAATAGTTAGATATTAAAATAAAAAAAATTAATAAATACTAATTTGAAATAAACCTTATTTAGAGGTAGTTGAAACATATTTAAACTTTTTTTTATTTTAAACACTTAATAATCATCATCCACCTATTATCGTTTATAAAATTTCATACATTTATAATTTTTATTATTAATCATCTTTTAAAATATCTCCATATTTTGTAATTAGTAAGATTTTAAAATTTTATTACATATGGAATAATTTTTCTAATACTTAAACTTTGGTATAAATCTAATAATACTTCCTAAATTTTTTATTTAGTTGAAAATTTTTATTTTTAGAAAATAAAATTGCAATCAACATGATAAGATAAAATGTACATACCTAAAGTATTAATGAAAGAAGGGAATAAAAAAATTCTAAATTGAAAAAAATTAAATTTGAATAGTGAATATATAAAGTAGTCAAAAGAAACTAGAAATTTTAATTTGGAAAACAAAGTTAATGAGTCATAGAGAAAAATAATAATTAAATGTGAAATTGGATAAGGAATAGGAGAATTGAGGTAGGAAACCATAAATTTAAAATTTAAAGTAGAACAAAATTTGATAAGCTTATAGGATTAATGTAAGAAATAAGAAGTTAGTTAAAAGTAAGTAAAAAAAAAAAAAGAAGTTTATCATTGAGTAATTAAAGTGAAAATTCTTTTTAAATAAGATTAAGGAAAATTTTGACGAGACAAAGAGGATTTAGCCTATGTGTGGATAAACTTTAAAAGAAATTTTATAAGAAAAAAAACTAATATAAATATGAATAATATTTTTTTATAAATTAAAATAACTTATTTTTTTGTTTCTTTTAGAAGTTTTAAAAAAAATTATTTAACTTTTCTAAAATTTGAAGAACGAAGTTGGTGTGAAGGTGTCTAAACCAATGATCAATGTTGGGACTATTCATTGGGCAAGTGTACCCATCATGAAGTAATAAAAGGTTCTAAAATAAGTTTATGAAATATCGTCTCACAAGAAAAGTTGTAGAGTACTTAAAACAAGTGAGCATATAATAAAATATTATATATTAAAAAATAATAAAACATAAAAATAAATAAATAATTTTTTTAAAAAAATAAACAAGAACAAAATTAAAATAAAGCAAAACACAAATTGCTCAAATCAATTAAATTTGAGATTTTTGTAATATTGGAAAGACAATTCCCGATAACGACACCAAAAACTTGTTCGTTGGGCAAGTGTATACGTCATGAAGTAATAAAGGGTTCTAAAATAAGTTCCTGAAATATCGTCCCACAAGGATTGATTTTTAATTACTAAAAATTTTTCTCATTCAATTCTTTATGTTATTTTTTTGTTTTAACTCTAAATTTAATTCCCTTATGATTACCAATCATTCATACAAATGTTATTAATACTTAATGATTATACAATACTAATATTCTTTTCTCTAAATTAATATCCCCAATGATCATGCAAGATATCAATTAAAGAAAGAATAAAGCACCTATGAACTTGTTAATTTAATAACGATTGAAAGAGAAAGATTGGTTTAGTCCACCTAATCCTTTGTCTCGTTTTACCCTATAAATCCATTAACTAATCGAGGTACGATCGCTTAACGATATAATTAATTAGGATTATAATTATGCGTAATAGGATAAAAGCTAATCACAAACGAAAATCAAATATAGACTCAAACTTCAAAATCTCATAAATTCATGAATAATAGTTCTTATGGCCCTAGATATGGACTTAATTACTCATGCTAAAGGAAAGAATTAAAACAATAATAAGTAAATTCATAATAAAAAAATATAGCAAACAATAGAATCGCTTCAAATGTTCATATCTAAATTTAAATTTTAAATTCAAAATTCAAACTCAGCTTCACATAGCACAGCTAAAGACTAAAAATATCTAATTTTTATCTAGAATATCTCCATAATGCACTAATAACAACTTCCAGCTAAACTGCAACAATTAATAACATAATTAGTATAAATATATAAAATAGAATTTAAGTGTATAAATATAAGTCATAAAATATATCAAAATATGAACTTATCAAGGACTAAGAGGGAGGGAAGCGGCAGTGTCAGTGGACGAAGCAATGTGGATACAGTGAAAGGGAAGGTGCTATTGGAGGTACAAACAGGAACATGGTGTGGGTACCTAAGAAAAAAATAGTGTCACAATGAGTTCCATGTTGATCGGGATACATTTGAGAGGTGTTGCAAGGTAATGGTGGGAAGGTTACACCGCCTAAAAGATCTTGATATTGTGGTTGACTTCCTTCTATGGGAATCCATACAGAATGTCAAGGTCGTTACCATGGGCAACGATATGGTTTTGTTGGAATCAGAGAGTCCGAAGGATCTAAGGAAGGTTATAGCTATGCATAAGGAGGATTTGTCTACGTTGTTTTATGTCATTGATCGGTGGCATCCTCGTATGGTAGATGCTAATAGGGCAACATGGGTTCATTTGTATGGCGTACAATATCATGCTTGGTCATAGGTGTTCTTCCGGAAGATGGTGTCACTGCTGGAAGATTTTGTGTGCATGGACGCTAATACAACTTTTCAAAGGCGTATGGATTTCACGAGTTCACCTACAGACTCAAATGCATGCGCTGATTAACTAAGATCTAAGAATTCAAATTAAGGATCTTATGTTCTCAATCAGAATGGTTGAGAAACATGGGAAAAAATTCTTTTAAGGAGGATGGCAGTCTCATAATTTAGATACTTCATCACTATAGAGTTCTAACGATGTCTCTTTGGATTTGGACGCTCTAGAGGATGATAGTTCAGATGATGGAGGAAAGAGTTGGGATCTAATGGCAAAAAGTGCAATAGGAAAAAAAAGTGATTGGAGATGGTACGGCAAGCCCAAAGGAGGGGGAACAGGGACGGATTATCAAGAACAAAATTTGCGTGATTCTGTGCTAGACATTGTCCAAAGGCAGGAGGAGTTGGAAAGTACGGAATCAAATGTCATGGAGGAAGTAACTCATATGTGAATGAGAGGGAATTCATTGATTTTAAACAACAATAATGAGTTTATTATCAATAATAATGTAGATGTTGTGCAATTTGGTGACGATGTGTTGGAAAAGAACGTTGACCAAGGTGAACCTGAGTTGATGAAAATTTATAAGGAAAGGAATTGGTGGGACATGGGAGCCAATGAAGGGTTATGGCAATTGGGCATTATTATTAAGGGACCAAAAAGCGACAATAATGTTGCACAAAAATGGTTTATTGCACAATCAGATGAGACTAATCACGTATTCAATCAAGAACTTGACTCATTTCAATCCAATGATGTTGTAGAGATGGTTGTACAGGAAAGAATTAATGTTAGGAGTACACTTTACAAGGCGAGGAGGAGAAGCTTCGACCAAATATTTGGGACACGTCGCAATGTCAGAGTTGAAATGAGTCTGTTTTCGTTTCCCAGGTGCAGCTGGTTTCAAGTAAGGAGGAGAGGGAATTGGCAGAAAAATTATTGCAGATTGGAGAAGATATAGGTCTTGTGATACACAAGAATTCAACGGAAGTGATTAATAAAATTAATTGAGATGGAGGTATGATGAACGAAATATTTTCTCATTTGCAAAAAAATTTGTCGTCAACCTTCATCAAAATATGCAAAAAAATTTATGTAGTCTAGGATGCAAGACTAGGTCGTCTCCCATGAATCATTGG